TTTGGAAATAAGGAGACATGTCCAACGCCATTGGCATCCCTAAGTTTGGGTTATACGAAGAACATATACGTTGAAAATGAGAAGTGTAATACCATCTTGATTCTTGAATATGTTGTACAAGAAATAAGAAAAGGAAGAATAAGAAGAATTGAATAGAAAACGTCCGCTGTAAACTAACATGTTTGTATATCTATTTTCTATCGAGAATTTAGTAAAAAAAAATTATCGGGAGGCAAAAAAAAGTTAATTTCCTCTCGTATTTTAAATAAGTAAAATAAACAATAAATACAAAAGTTTGACAAAATATTTATCCCTCATTTCGATGCACATTAGCATAATATTTGAAGGTTAATTAGAAGAATGAGATGACAAAATTGAAGATATGAATAATGATGATTGAACAGAGTCAGAGGTATGAACAATGATGATTGAACATATTCAAATACAGGAAAACGATGGACAAACTGACTTGTCGCACCTGTTTGAGTGTTTTTTTTTTTTTTCAAACTGTCCAATTATGTACTTACATGTGTCCCCTTATTTTTGAACATGTGTTTTTAGCCTGTTTGTGTAGCATGATTCTGAAGAGAGAAATGCTATTCATCCCCACTGGGGATGCATCCCCAATCTATGTGGCGTTAATGTGTCATTAAATGATAGGTGAAATAAAATAAGTCATTTAATTTCACCTATCATTTAACCAATCNTGAAAAACCCAGTACATCTTTCTTTTTCTTATCAGATATTTAAATTTTGAGAAATGCTATTCATACACACTTGTTATGCTTCCCCTTTCTATGTGGCGTTAATGTGTCATTAAATGATAGGTGAAATAAAATAAGTCATTTAATTTCACCTATCATTTAACCAATCATTTACATCCATATAGACTGTGGATGCATCCCCACTGGGGATGAATATCATTTTTCTTCTGAAGATACAGTGCAAGATGGATAATAAAATTGATTATATGAATATAATTACTCAAAAATAATAAAAAAAAAAAACTTTTCATATTTCTCAAGCTAGCCGATATATTGTTAAAGAGTCTATTCAAGCATCAAACCAAGTTTGTTGTCGTTCTTGTGATAAACTAATGGGATTCTAATAATATTTTAAAATTAATTAGATATTCATAAATAATATTTATATCTAATTTCTTAAAATAAAAAAATAAAAAACTTAACGAAATAGAAAATTATTTGAAAATAAATTAAACTTAAGATGGTTTTCACACTGCATTATCAGCGTTCTGCCAAATATAAATAAATGAAATGCAGCAGATGAATTCTTGTAGCTTATCCTGAAGCCTTACATCTTTATCTCTACGTATAATCTGTAGAAAACCCTTTTCTCAAAATTCAGGAAAAAGTTAATCTGATGTGCCGGTGATTGGATTTGTACTTAGATCGCGTAGCCGCCTCAAGAAACCCTAGATCCCTGCATTTTTTTGAAAATTATAATTGGTTTTGTCAAGGATCTGCAAGTTTTTAGGGTTTCTGAGAGCCACCATGGTGGGCCCTAAACCACAGATTGAATCAGAAGCACCACCTCCACCACCACAGACGGCGACAGCATCAGCTGAAGAAGAAGCGCTAAAAAGGAACACTGATTGCGTTTACTTTCTGGCTTCTCCTTTAACTTGCAAAAAGGTTGCTTTTATGTTTTTTGTTACTAGTATTTTCTGTTTGGATTATTTATTTTGCTGTGTACGTATATGTGCATGAATGAATTTATATAGATTTTCTGCATGTGTTAGATCGTTTCAGGAGAAATATTGAAATTATTGGTTAGGATCTGTGAATTTCTTAGGGATTTGGAGTTTTTTCAATCATACTTTTGTACGTGATTTATACGAGTATTTTAGGTGTTGGATTATGTGAGGTTTAGTTTCATTCTTGAAAATCCCCACTCTTTTGATTGATTTCTTTTCTTTTTAACTCTTTTAAAGAATTTATAAGTTTAGAGATTATGTATGCTTTTCTTATATTAATAGATTCTTTTTGCTTGTTTTTTAATTTATGACATATAAGATATATAGATCTCTCCATCCATCCACATGATACTGCCGCTTGTGTGTGTTTATGTATTATATAGGTATGTATATATGCTAGGGTTTGTGAAATGTGTCTCTATTAAGAAAGTGTTGGTGTGTGTGGTTCGATTCATGGAATGAAATTCCATTATATAAAGTTCATCTGTTTCTGTTTTAGGTAAGTTTTCACATTCGTGATATGATTGCATATTTGAGAATAAAAAACACTGAATTTTGGGAAGGCAGTTAAAATGAGGGGTTTAGTTTTAAAATTGATTAATTCAATGATTAATCATAAATTTTGTCCTGGATTGCACAGAAAAATGTACCATGCTGTGTATATTTTTTATCTTTACGTGAGTTTGGTGGTTTTGTCGTATTTGCTATTTATGCAGCTTATTAATTGTTCCAGCATTCTGCTCACTAGTGTTTGTCGCTTTCCACGCATAAAGCGACTGATTTGGTTATACGTTCTTGTCCCAATTAACGGTTACGTGGAATCTGGCTCCTTGGCGTCTGTATCAGTTATTATAGCCCACGGAATGATAGGCATTGGTTAGAAATTTCTTGCCTTTGACCACCACATCACTTATAAATAAAATGAATTCAACAAATTAAGCCCATTACTTTAGATATTTGCTCCCAAGACATAAAATTTGCTGAAATAACAAGCAATACTGACTGCGATTATAATTTTCCACCTTTTTATCTGACTATTTAGAATCCTATATGTATTCTTTGTTAACCAGAAATATCCTTTTCAGTTAAATGATTTCTTTGGCATTTGTTCTATCATGATCAAATATTTGATGATGTTTAGTGGATCAATACATTATCGTCCACTTGCACAAGCGTATGTTATCATTCCATAGTGTGATCAAACAAATTCTGCTGCCTGCTCTTTTTTCCTTGAATAATTACATTCCACTTATTTTTTATTTTGGCAACAGGGAAGTGAATGCGATTATCGCCATAGTGACATTGCAAGGGTAAACCCGAGGGACTGTTGGTTCTGGTTACATAGTAATTGCCTGAATCCGAAGTGTGGGTTCCGCCATCCGGTGAGTCTTCTATTTTTTTGGCATAGATGGTATTATTCTATTAACTCTGTGCTCAAGTAGACTGACATAATGCAAATATAGATTTGATATTGTTTTTGGTGATATCACTGTTCTTAACTCTTGGTTTCTAATATTAGCAAAGAGGGTATTGATCTTCTTTTGTTCTTCAGCCGCTGGATGGACTGTTGGGGACACAAGCTCAAACTTCTGCTTTGTCTGCTGTACCTCCATCACAATCTGCCTCTACACCTGCTCCACTTGTTCCAAATGCCTCTGGTAAACAAGGGGTGCCCTGCATATTCTTCCAGAAAGGGTACTGTTTAAAAGGTGACTGGTGTCAATTTTTGCATGTACCGAATTCTGTGAGTAATAAAAACACACAGGTGCCAGGAATGTCTACTGCTGAGTCTGCATCTTTCAAGAATACTTTCGGTGGACCTGAAAAGTGCACAGAAGAAAAGAAGGTCCCATCGAAAACTGTAGAAAAATTAGTCGAGTTACCTTTGCATACAAAACCAGCTGTGAAAGTGGAACCCGCTCCTGCGAGGAATGAATTTGGAAAAAAGACACTGATGACTTCAGAAATGAATGAAGAGTTTTCTGTCTACAGACCAGCTAGTATTTCACCTGCTAATAATGAAAAGCAATCCAGCAGGACTATCTGTGTTCAGCAGTCTCACCCGGTGGATGAACATGGTAGTATGAATAGTAAGGATGCAGAAGAATTTTCGAGAGAGCCCTCCCCTGGTTTTGATGTTCTGGTGGATGATGAACTGAGAGATTCTGATTACTATCCTGTTGAAGATCAGTATGGAATGACTGGGGATCATGAAGGTAGGAATGAATATGACATTGGGCATTCTGCTGATTATAATTCAATGGTTGATGTTGACCGTGATATATATCGTGATCCTCGTGGTTATGACTCGTATGACCGTATTCAAGGTCAGTATGCTTGGGAGCAGCACAGGGCTTCATCTGAGAGGATGTCGGGAGGGTCTGCTTACCAGAAAAGGAGACATTCTAGAGTCAATGGTCCCGATCTAATTAATGAAACAGATCTAAGGAATCATTTGTCAAAGCACAGAAGAAGTAATGGTTTGAGGTCTGCCATCAGTCATGAATATGCACGTGACAGACATGATGATCAAGGATACAAGGTTTCAACTAGGGAAGCACAATATTTGCCCCCACGTGAGAGTTCTTTTAGTAGTCGCCTTCGAGGAAGAATAAAACTTCCAGGGAGATCTTCTTCTCCACTTGATGGAAGGGACTTACACGTTGACAGGGAAATAATTAGGGGAACAGATCATGGTAGATCGTCTTCTGGAAGGACACAACAGTCCTCTCACCATGGAAGGCGAGACAGAATAAAGGGGAAGGAGGAAGATGATTTTAATGTTGGCGGGAAGAATAATAGAGGTGGGAACTTAAGAAGAGAAATGAAGGGTGAAAATATTACTGACTTTGCTGGTCCAAAAAGTCTTGCAGAGCTTAAAAGCAGGAAAAATGGTGAGACTAGTGAGCAGCCTTCTCTTGGGAAGAGAAAACACTCCATGCTTGATGGTTATCAACAACCATTTGAAGGGCCTAAGCCTCTGGAAGAGATTCTGAAGCAGAAAAGGGGTGAAATAGCTGCCTCGGGTAATAATAAAGACAACAATCAAAAGGAAGAAGGAATGCGGAAAATGACAAAGATTACTTCGACTGTGGAGGATCAGCGTGCTCTTTCGTCAACACCTGTTAATGAGGATTCCAAATCTGCATCAGGTGGTGATCGTGGAGCAGAAAAATACGGATTAAGTGATGCTAGAGAGCTAGAAGCTGAAGATGGAATGATAGTTGATGAACAGTTGGTTGACCAAGAACATGATGTGTATAAGCAGAGGGATGGTGCATCCGATAATGAGCAAGTGGATGGAGAATATTATGATGACTTAGATGAAGGTGAAAATGGAGATGCTGAAGAGGAATACCCTGATGATGAAGATGGAGACGACTTTGCAAAGAAGATGGGTGTCGTGTACTCGTGAGAAGGATAAATGTTGGATTTATGGCACTTGCTGTCAATCCAATTTATTTTGAATCTTTGCAGGCTTTGTTTTGATTTGCTCCGTGTTAGCAAATTCAACTTTTTCTCTACTGATTTTGAGTTTAGAAGTAGAGAAATTAGAGCTCTCTCCTATGTATCATCGTAAACTTTGTATTGGTCCGTCTTTAAACGATTGACTGGATGATTCTTCTCTCCAGTTGTATGGTTTTGGATAGTTAACGATTTTCTCTGACTGCAATGGTCATGACCAATATTAGATCATCCATACATAGTTGTTGAGGTTGATGATTTATCCAATTTTGGTTATTAGATTTTCATCGGCGTTTTTACGGTTTTAAAAAGTGTTACAAGACTAATAAATGATTCACATTGTCGACGTTGTTGGTTATTTCTTTTGAATGTTTATTTGCTTTTGACATGTTCTACTCCACAATAGTACGTTTTTTGTTTGTTGAAATGTGATTGTAGGTATGTGATTCTGTTTTTTGGCTATTTCCGTTCAAAAGCACATTATAGAATAGGAAAATATCAAGAAATTTATGATTATTATTGCACCAATAATTATCTGATTTCATGAATATTTAGATTTTTCTGTGACTAGATTAAAAGTTCAATATATTTTCGCTATTTACATCAAACAAAATAGAGCTGGTAAATTTTAGTGAATTTTTTTCTATGTAAATCCTTTTTATTTTAACCCCTCTTGGCTCTACCCTAGTCGCACATGACCTTCTCTGGTAGTGGGAGAGGCGACCGCGAGCACTCCAATGATCAAGTTAATCAAGGATAATAGTATGTTGGGTGTGAGACATACTGAAAATGTGAGACACTAAGTAAAATGGGTCGAATGAGGGAGTACTAAAGGTGTACTATCGGTTCTATTTTTAATCCATTGATAGAATGTTAAGATCATTAAAAGATTCTTTCTTCAATCTTCAATGAGATTTCTATTGAGTTGTAGATTTCACGTTGGTAAAATTATACACCATTTGAATGGAATTTTGACAATTGAACCTCACTACAATTTAAGAATACAATTCACTTCTACTCCTGCTGTTTATTAGTTATCAATTCAATTGAAGTTCGATACAAAATGAACAAGATCTTCCAGTTTTTATTTGTGCCAAATCTCTTTTGTAGTTGTAAAGAGTCCAAGATTTCCAGGCTGCAAGATTCGAGGGAGATTTTTCAATTTAACCTGTTTGACTAAGCCTTTTAATTTTTTATTGAAAAGTCTATATTACCCTTAATGATATAAATTTTTATAAATTGCATAACATATCCTCGTTTTTCCAAAGGTTTAAACATTAGTCTTTATCTTATGTTTCTTTTATTTTTAATTGTAATATATAGTTTCATTTTATGATCTAACAAATTAGAGTAATCTGTAATGTATTTATCCCATTATTCATTTAATTTCTCGTATTCTTCGAATAACATATCCATATTTTCCTTTTGATTTATGATATTTTTTATTTTTTCTAACATTCTGTCTAAAAGATCATCTAATCCTTTTATAGTATATACATTTTAATCATCAACTGATAATAAAGCATGCATTATAACAAA